CCAGCATCCAGTTTGCGGACGACATAGCATTGTATTCCTCGAAGAGTTCTGTTGGGGCTGTCTCTGCTACGCTTACGACGGCAGTCACTAACCTAGCTGTTTGGCTGCAGGCGAGGGGCATTGTCCTCAACCCTACCAAAAGCCGAGCTGTGACCTTTCTTCCTCGCCGACAGGTGGATAACCCTCTCGTAACTGTTCAGTGTCGTGGAGTAGCTGTTCCAACAGCATCGACTACCACATACCTCGGTGTTGTACTTGATAGTACAATGTCATGTAACCTTTCATGGGACGCTCAAGTCGACCGAATTGTCAGCAAGACTACGCGTAAGATTGGTGCGCTGTGGCGAGCCCGTCGCTCCCTATCCGATCTGCACGGCGTCTCTTCATCCAGGCTGTTGTCATCCCTGACATAGTCTATGGCAGTAACGCCTTCTTCCCCGCGCTCCTTGGTCGCCAGCTTGATCGCCTGGGTCTGCTACAGAACAGGGGCTATCCGAGCTATCGACGGCCATGCCGGCCAGTCGGCCACCCACCCTACACAACCGTGCATCCCCTGCTGGTGCAGCACGGCTTGTACCGGATAGGCGGACTCAGCAAGCGCAAGCTACTTGTGATTGTCTGGAGCTTTCACGGGAAAGCTAGTGCCACGTTGTCTGTACGACGTAGACCTACTGTACTCTTCGTCAGATCTGCTGGCAGGAGAACCCGTCATCAGAGGTCCAGTGGTCTGCTCAGCCATCCTCCACTCACTCTGGCGCTTCTCGGCCGTCCGTCGCAGGAACTGCACTCTGGAACCTGCTGCCGGATGACGTTCGGACCAGGGAGTAGTAAAATGTATTTTACTACTCCCTGGTTCGGACCATAGCAAGACAGAAAAAGCTTAGCATAAGTTGCCTAACCATATTGTTGCTCAGACTAGCACGCCCCCTACTTGTAGCTCTCCTCGACCACCCTGATACTTGCTTGACTCCTTTGTCAGATACTTCTTCTTTCGTAATTTTCTAATTCCTGTCCTCTCTTTTCTAAATGCGGTTTATCCATTCACCTTTACATCATTGGGCCTAGTTCCCTTTTATTGTGCGAATTAAAATAAACCAACCACCACCAACCACCCTGGTGGGCCAGCCCACTTGCCACTACCGAATGGACCCCCAACTGAACGCTCTCTCAGCTGTCTCAGTGGGAGCAGCATCGCATGATGCTGTGAATAAGCTTCAGCAAACGATAATTCCGGTGAAAGGAATGGTGTTCTCACCGCCAAGGACTCTACGATACCTTGACCAGATAGTACCCCCCCCCCCCCACACACACACGTGACCACTGCCGCTGCCGCCACCAGCATCACCATCACTCTCCTACCAAACTCCTTTCTCCAGCACACGCTCCAGCATGCCGCATGCACAGGGGCAGCTGAGAACGCAGACGCAAATCATGCAACAGCCAAACAGATAGTCTCCGCTGTGGATTGTTCCCTACAGGCAAACAGAGTGCTGCGGGAAGACAGTCAGTATGGATGTGCTGGAGTTGTGATAGCCAGTTGGTGCCAATGACTACTGATAATGCAAAGAGGTGTGGTGAACGTGAGGGGTATGGACTGGGTAGCAGTGTGATGTTGACAACGTGATCAGGGTATCAATTGAGACGCGATAAAAACAAACGTGCAGAACAGCAATGGAGCAGGGGAGAGATAGATAAACAATTGTTTTAGTGTATCACCACTAGTATTCCACATGTTCAAGGGCAGTTTGATGGTGGAATGAAGACATTCGGGTCGCTGATTCCGAGGGTGACGTCATAGAACCTAAAGAGGACAGGAGCAGAAAATCGAATGAATAATTGTCTCCAAGAGGCGACGTGGAGACATGTGTAAACTATCTCATAGACTGGGCCCGCAGTACAATGTGATCCACTAGTATACTGATTCTAGATTAGTGAGATATAGGGGTGTCGGAGCAACGGAAACAAGGGATGTGACCATGACTGGTCTACTCTTCATCTGCGACGGCCCGTCTGATTTGTCCAAGATCAGTGATCGACTTTTGGGCAATCATGCGATCCCACGAGCACACCCTGTATTTATGCTGCAAACAGTGGAGTCGCAAGAGAACTGAGGCGAAGGTCGCGCGCAGCCCATGCATGCACTCCTGAGTTCCACTTGAGCGACTACATGTACTTGATATAAAGTCATGAGGAACTGCAAAATCCGGTTGTACTAAACAAATGATCAAATTATGTGTGATCTAGCTCTACTAGGGGGTGACTCATGCAACTGTTCTTCTACTAAGTGTGAGTAGTCCGGAACAACTACCGGCAATAAGCTCCCGCATGGCATACATGTTAGTAAAACATGCAAGTTACTTGTACTGTAGCTTACGTCCAGTGGATAAATCCAGTTGTGGAGGAGACGTACGAATCCGTGACTGGAACGCAGCCAACTGAGGTCCACGAGCCACTGTAGCGGCCTAAAAAGACACCAAGCACAAGGCAAATGCAAACACTGAGCGCTAAACTTAGTGTCACAGCAGCTTTTGACTAGTGATCCCTGTACGTCACCCGCTCATGGTGTAGCAATCAAGTCTCACTCGATTGCTGGGAATCCACGCCAATCCCCAGAAGTGCAGAACAGCTGTAGCAGGCAGTGGTGGGAAACGTGGACGTATGAACGTTACTTCCCTGCTGAAGAGGTGGGTGGGGTACACATGTATTCACCACATTGTAATCCCAGCGAACCAATTGCACTGTACACTGTACACAGAGGTAATCATATTCCAATTTGTGCTTCCATCTGACATCCCAGTCCTATATAACATAACACACTGCCGTACGCAATAATGTCCAGAGGTATTTGATCAGCTCTAACTTACTTATACGATAGCTATCTTGGCATCACCAACATGGATATTGTACATCAATTCTTTTGTTTTCCGTTTTTGAGAAATGGACAAGGAAGGAGTACCTTTACCTGTCTCTACCTACAGCCTCCAACCTGCCTCAACAATATCATGAATCAGAAATAATATTCCTATTCCAAATTGACACATGGACTACTTTTCCACTTGGTCCTGCCGTCATATGATAGGGTATTATGGAAGACAGCGGGGATGTGGTGCTGCCATCCTGGATCATGTAGCCCTATAGAGTGGTTTCACATCAGTTTGTCATGTGACTAAATGTGTGTAGAAAGTGATCATGTCATGTGGACAGTGGAACCAACATGGCCGACATCATGTGACCCATAGATGAAGGGGTTTGAGTGGAGTTGGAACCAACATAGCTGTCCCGTGTGGTCATGTGAGAGATGTGAAACCACTCTGTAGCTCAGGCCACACTGACTCACCTCGCTCGGTCTCACCGCCCCAGAGGTTCACCAGAGTGCCAGCGCCGGCAACGGATGAGCTGCCGACGTACGCCTCTCCGTAGGACGTGGCGTTCTCGGGCACCTGGATGTAGCGGAAGGGCTCCTTCAGGGCAAATTTCTCGCATTGGCGAGTACGGCCGTTGATGCGATAGCCGACTTCCTGTACGCAACCAGAGAAACAACAACAATTCAGGAAAAATAACTCAAACTGGAACCTCCATCATCATTATAGTTTCATGCCGGTGGTTTGCATGAAACCTCAAGGAAGACTATCTGACTCAGTGAGACCTATTCAACTTACAGATTCTCATCTGGATGTGTGTGTGTGTGGGGGGGGGGGGGGGGGGCAATAGCATACTAGTACATGAGTACTCGGTAACAGAACGTTTCGATGAAGCTAGCGGATTATTTTACTTTACAGAGCTGGGGAAGAAGAAAGGGCTTAGGCATGCGGACACAGCAGCATTCAATTCCGCTGCTACGGTACGAGTTATGTACTTCAGAAGTAGCATCATCACACATACCCGCCCCGTTGATGATGAGCTACAGGTGACAACACCAGAGAGAGAGAGAGAGAGAGAGAGAGAGACTCGGGGAGAGAGAGAGAGAGAGAGAGAGAGAGAGAGAGAGAGAGAGAGAGAGAGAGAGAGAGAGAGAGAGAGAGAGAGAGAGAGAGAGATGATATGCAACTCACCGCACGGTGAATGAAGATCTCCTCGTAAAACTCGCGGGTCTCTCCCTCAATGACTTCTTCGCGAATGGCAACACGCTCATTGCTGGCATCGTAGGCGATGCGTGCAAATCGTTCGAATCTCCTCGAGGGATTCACCTGCAAATGGCAGAAACGCAAGCAAGCAAGGTCACATGTGTAAGAGAGAGGGAGAGAGGGAGAGAGAGAGAGAGAGAGAGAGAGAGAGAGAGAGAGAGAGAGAGAGAGAGAGAGAGAGAGAGAGAGAGAGATAACAGAATACTAAACGAGATGCTGCGACAAAGGCCATTACATATTGGTATATTGGCTTCATAGTTGACTTCGAATCGCCGTTATGAGCCTCCTCCCCCCCCCCCCCCCAGGTGGGGTTGGGGTGGGGGGGGGGGCATGGGAACCACCCAAATGGTTGACCTGCGGCCGCCCCTGGCTGGCGTGTGACTACCGGCTAGACTAACCCTTCACTGTGATGGAAGGTATTGAATTAGGCTACTGTATATCAAAGCATGCCAATAACCGACCAGTAGGCTGACTGGATTCTCCCGGAACAACTTCCGGGCAGATGTGGACTATATTGAGGATCTTAAAAATGTGAACGCCTCCATAAGTCCATATCTACCGATCTAAGTCTGGGCGACGTGAAACCTACGCCCCTATGTCCACCTGGGAGGCAGTCATACTGTGTACCCGTGCAGCTTCATGACTGTACTTGCCAAGCACAGCGGACACCGGCGCCGGTCAACTCAGCACTGGAGGAGTACGTATTCTAAGTAAAAATTAATAATTAATTCGTCCATCCTCGCGACGAGTGCATGCAACCTCTGCGCTGTCTTATAAAATTAATACCGTAATTAATTAGTGACTAGGAACTAACTTACCTCAAACAAGCGGCCCTCCCATGCTGTCGGGGACGCTGTAGCACAGATCAAACACATAACAGGGCACACGCACAACACACGGGATAACTGACTTGATTGGCATTTTGATCCGCAGGCTACGCGGCCTACGGTTGCAATAAACACACAGAGTGATGAATTACTATTCGATGAGAACAATTTCTGGAACTAGCAACGCAAAACCTTCAACGAAATGACCCCTCGTGCTACTGCAGTACTGGTCATAGGAAGCAGGTTCACTTACTGCATCGAATTGGAATCTGAGCAAAGGCTCCTGCCACACAAAGGGCGAGAATGAGAAGATGCATGGTTGCGAGCGTCAGAGCGAAACTGAAAAGAACAGAATAACTAGAGGACTGGTTAGGTTTCCAAAGCACTTCAGTGCCTTATATAAAACCGCTGCACTCTGTGCGTTCTCGTATGGGGGATGGGCGGTGCATGCAGCAGCGTTGCAGGGTCACCATGTCACCAACCTAGCCCTGTGACTGTGTGCATGTGATCGTGAAGCGAGTGCGTGTGTGCGTGTCAGCAACACTCAGTCTGGAAGCATCTGCTGGACAGTTTGTAGTGTGTTTTCCTGGGAGGCTCCGACTGGTTGAGAGCTCGAATCACGTTTTGGCCGTCACATGACCTCCACACGACGTAGCCTATGATTCGCAGGATCTGCGGCTCAGTTGGCGCTGTTGAGTGTTGTTTCTTTGCCTTTGGCTTTGGTTCATGGCCATGGCATGGGGGGTGCAGATTGCAGCGAATCACTCTCGCGATCTGTGGAGCCCTCGCCCTTGGCAGTGGCAGTGGGCTGGTGGTCATAATTCATAATTATGGCTAAATCATGTAGTGAGTGGTGCACTGGTGGTGCCATGCCATCGTCTTGGTGGTGCCGTGCGCGTGGTGCTCACTGGTAGAGTGTGTAGCGCGCGGCAGATGGATGAACAAATAATTATTATATTCAGGAATAGTGCAGGAATAGTGATTAGGTAATGGTCAAGATAGCTGGCATCATGATGAGACAGGCGACTCACTGTCACTGACATTTTGTGCAAAACTACTTACTAAGTAAAAAAGAGAGGGCGCTAGCGCTTGATGGCACGAGCTGACTTGCGTACTACATTTGTAGTGCAGTGCAGTAGTCATGGTAGTTGTCGAAGCTCGACGAGACGAGAGAGGAGATGATTACTGATTAGAACATTTAGAAGGCCTGAGCTGTGTCACATGTACAGTACAGGCTGTGTGGCACTTGTGTCGTGATATGAGCTGTGCAGTCCGGGGATCCCGGGATCAGGGAGACTGCAGTGCAGCCTACCGCAGTACCGGAGTCTCCCCCCACCCCGACCCCAAGTAAGGCGCTACATAATCATTGTAACCTGCCTGCACTGATGGCGGTGGTCATGGTGATGCACTAGGTGCCTACACTGTACATCACGTGACCAAGCCGCTTTTACGGGCAACAATATTATGAATATGAAACGCAAGGTATTGTAAGAGCAATTTTCTGAAAATAATGTTAAAACACGAAATAATTTATAGAAATGCAAATGAAATGAAATGAAATGAAATCATCATCATCATCATCATCATCATTTATTTATTTATTTATTTATTTATTCAACATCTCCTGGCCCGTCCGAAGACTGCCAATAAACATGAGAGGTCAGGTGATAGCCAACCACGGCAAGCTAAAAGGGAGAAAAAGAAAGATGCTGTCAGAGAGCATCATGTGACCAAGCCGCTTTTACGGGCAACAATATTATGAATATAAAACGCAAGGTATTGTAAGAGCAATTTTCTGTTTTCTGAAAATAATGTTAAAACACGAAATAATTTATAGAAATGCATTATCACACCGTAGCCACTTTTATGGGCAAATTCCAATACAAGGCAATAGGAAAACGAGGATGACGTTAACCTTTTAACCCAAAGAAAAGACAAAAGATGTCAACAATAGAACTACAAATATAAAAAACAAACATCAGGTCATAAAAACTACTTTAAAACATAACCAAATGACAGCAAAGCGTGGAGAATGAGATTGACTTACAAAACAAAAGTAGTCCTACTATGCTTACAAAACAGAATCTACCTACACCACTAAGGAAGAAACATTAAATGATTGCAGTCTCACAAACACCGGCCTCTATCTAACGACCCATCAAACAATAACTCCTGAAATTCTTGACTGACTTCTTCTGGTAGGAGCTACGGCAGCCGCGAAAACAGGTCACTGCCCAACGGAGTAAAGTGAACGAGAGCAGGCACCGCAATCGACCCATAACCAGCGAGTAGGCCAAGTCACTGTGTTTATCGACATACTGGGCTGCAAGACACTTGAGAAAGCGGTCTGCCTCCCGGCCACACATGCCATTCGTGGCGAAAACCAACGGGGTGAACGTGCCTCGGTCTATATTCACAACACGCGCTCCGTATTCCCGCTTTTTCATGCCTTCATGCTTTTGGAGATGGCGCTGGACTTCTGGACGCGACAGCAGGTTTGGCTTTGGCTTTGACTGTACATCACCATGACCACCGCCATCACCATGACCACCGCCATCAGTGGAGATAGACTAGCGCTTGGGGTCTGGGTAGGGTCCAGCGGATAATGCTCCGAAAATGTTCGTATAGTGCTAATCATAATGCTTCAAAAAAATACCTCATAATGCTGATTATAATGCTTCAACAAGGGCTATAATGCTCTTGGTTTGGAACAAAAGTGGAAGAAAGGCTGCACATTGTCAAACTTCCAGGAAAGGATGCATAGTCGATCTGTCTCTGAAGCTGCTACAATATCTCTCACGAGTCACGAGCTCCACCACTTCTTAGCACTATAAGGCATGATCGCGTCTCCATTGGCTGCTCTCCATTGCAACTTTGATGCAGGGCTGTGGCTGAATAGTGGGTGTATCAAATCTTTTCCCTTGCTTGTTCATGTAGTGAGTGTTATGGAGGATCACGAGATCCGCCGAATCCGCTATCGGCAATCCACAACAACAAGGCCTCGGAGTGATGGAGAACGTCCCTTCTATTCAGTTTCGAACTGCTACTAATGTCCCTTTAGACACTCATACAACACACGCCTTTCGATAGGTGTTGTTCTTCGATCTTTTCACACAAGTACAAGAAATACACGTAACACCGACTCTAGCAACAACTGCAAGAAACTGAATGCTTCATCGCATCATCATCTTCTCTTCTCATCTGATGGAATAATGGGAGCGCAGCGATTCTTATGGTAGGTTGAAAGCACACAGCCAGCACATCAGGAGCCAAACACAGACGAAAGGAAACAATTGGAATAAACAATACAGTGAACAATTCCGCTGCACGGTTAACAAAGAATAACCGCAGATAACCGCTCAGACAATCACCGGGTGGTCACCGTCTGAGGCACGTCAATGCACAAAGTCAAAGGTAAAAACGGCCAATATTGCAGAAGTATTCAATATGGCAGGAAACTACTAACCAACTCTCCGTCCGTGTCCACGTCAGGCGAAATTACTGGTCAGTCGGCGTCACACATTTTTCACAAAAATTTGCGTTTCACCTGCTGGGAGAGTATGCGTGTACTCGAGTCTCATCCTGAGCCCGTTTTTTTCTTCTTTTTTTCAGCTCTAGTATAGCTGTATTTTTCATTGCAAAGCCGTCCTCGATTGTTGTGTTCGTTGTTCAAACGAAGTGGACATTCAATCATGAAGGCAGACGACATAGGAGCCTGATTGGAGTTTCTCATGGCATAGGACGGCCACACAGAGACACTTTGGGATTTTCTGAATATAAAATACCGTACGCACGATGCTGAGATCAATTTGTGCGATATCAAATTGTTTGTGATCTACCACATCGAGCAGAACGGGATCCAAACACAAGCTTACCGACGGTTAGGCTGCCGACCTGACTGGACAAATGATCCCTGGCTTCACCAGACGCCAGAAGTCGGACACCATGTCCTTTGTCGCGACGTCCATCTCCAAAAAGAACTCCATCTTCGTCGTGAAAAGGCTTGAAATACTCAATATTCAACTGAGATTCGCGGACTCGCGCTTTCTCGGATCGATAAATTTCCTGCTGGAACAGTTGCAGGGCAGCTTCCCGCCACTGTTTCAACAGGCGATGGCTCCAAAGCATGCCTGGAACAAGCCATATCGAGGTTGCAAGCCACCCCTCTCAGCAAAAAATTCGAAGAAATTCGAAATTTCAATGGTGGAAGATATACTATGAAGAGAATTTCAAAAAGTATGTTTCGCGGAGCGATCGCTCAACCTACGTCATTCAAACTTTGTAGGATGGTTCAGACGTACATGCTAGGCATGGAACCACAGGCGATGATGCCATAGCTGACACACAGAGTAACACACACAGCAGAATCGTGTGCACAGATACTAAATTAGTGGACGTCGTCATCTTCTTCCCGCTGATCTCGAATGTACTATGACGTGCTATTTCGCCTGACGAACACCTACATTTAGAAGCTACATGGAATACTGTGGCTGTGCTATTATTAGAATACATACTGGATGACAATGCACAACAGAAACTAGCAGTGTCCTCCTGAACATCCTCCCCCTCGCCATATGCTCCCAGAGTAGCATGTGGCAACTACTGATTTGCTACGCCAAAAATGCATATACAGCGTAACAAATGTGCACGCATGCTGCAACGAAAGAGTATGAATAGCTTCATGTTTTCAGCAAGGCACACAGCTTGCACAGTGTTCCTCTTGGTATGATACATTCAGCATATCGGCTACTGACTGTAGCGGTACCTCACTAGATGACTTCAGCATTCCAGTGGGCACACACGGGAAATAGGCCGTTTGTATTGCTGATTACCGGCCTGCAGCTTCACAACTCGCACATGCCCGTCTGGACCCGGGTAAACTTCAATCCATGGTGTCGTTCATGTACGTCGATGCCAGGATTGCATCCGCTGCCAGAGGGTGCGTAACTGCATGCTCTCGCGCTGTTTGCTGCGCCACATATTGAGCTAGGAACGGCGATGCATTGATCCCGAAGACGAGGCGATTGAACTCGTAGTGCTGCACATCAGCGTCTGGCCTGTCCCGCCACAGAAAGCGATGATACGGCTTGTCTTCCGGTGCTAATGCCACTTGTAGGTACATCTCAGAGATGTCGCATCCGATCGCAACTGGTTTTCTTCTAAACCTTGTCAGGACGTCACAGAGGTCTCGTTGCAGCCTTGGCCCCGGGTTGATTGCATCATTCAGACTCAGTCCACGGTAGTTAGCTGCTGCGTCGAATACTATGCGAACTTTTGTTGTGGTCTTCTGTGGCCTTACGATTGCAAAGTGTGGCAGATACCAGCACTGATCTTGTTCCGTTTCTGCTGCACCAAGCTCCCGGATGTAGCCTTTGTCCTCGTAGCTCTTCAGCACATCTCGGTAGGCC